ATAGAATAGTCAAAACAATGCAACAATCTCTGCACACTTTCACTGCAAGACAGAAGCTTAAAGCTCCAGCAAATGTTAATGTAAGCTTTTTCTGTGTCGTTGATGCCAAACGAAGCTTATTCCATTTTAAGTTGTGGCATTTTTCAGGCGTGCGAAAAAACTCTAAGGGTATTGCGGGAATTTTTAATTAAATTCTTATACGCATATACAAAAATAGAAATCGAAGTGAAAATTGCATAAAAGGTATTATTAATCGAGTAAAACTTGCCAATCAAGCAGCAGGTAAGAGACAAATGAAATACGTCTGATGTCCGAGTCCTTGCCCAGTGCTGAAAAAATTGTGTATCCATTATGAAAAGGTATCCGCTTGTTCAGCAGGGGCACTTCGATGTATTGTATATTTTTGTCACTAAAAGTATGCTTTAAAATCGGATGCTATTTTATTATCAGGTTGAATCCATATATTTAGTTCATATATTATTGTTATTTAAATTTTTTATGTACATCCTTATTTATTTACCTTGAAAATGTAGTATTATAACAGCTATAAATGCTGGTCGGACCAAGTTCTTTTGGTATCACATTGAAAGGTACTAGCTATGCTTGCTGCAGGAAAGGAAAAAAGCTCAGGACTGTTAAATGTGGAGGGGGGAGGCACAGAACTGAAAGCTGACCACCTGCTCATAAGCCTCAAAAGTATTACATTACTGAAATTGCATTATGCTAATGGGTTTCTCTTTATGAAAAGTAAGTGCGAGCCTTGGCACATGCTCAGTGCACTCACAATCGACCTCCGAGAACGTAGACGAGACAGCAACTGAGTGAAGGAATATCCAGCAGCCATTCAAGAGTGGCGAGAGGGAAACAGAGGACGTCATTTTATAGGCCAGTGGGTGGGTGGCATTCATTAAAACGCAACAGCAGGCAGACGACTGCATATACGTACATAAGTGCGCGTTGAACTTGAGCCATGTTTTGCATATCATTCAACGTTGACATCACAGTCCGAGAATATAAATATGTACATCTACTGATATCGATCTTAATTAACTTTTTTGTGGGATGACACTTCTTAGTGACCTAATTTTAATAATATTAATGAAACTGGCTCAAATCGAACCATTTATAATCCAAATAGGGTTGGCCAATAGCGCTCAATTCATCATAGACAGGGCGACTTTCCAATAGTAGTCGCACGCAATATGGCGTGTCCTTTCTTTCGTCGTGCCGACTCGTTGGCGCGCCAGCCATCGGTAACTGTGGAGCCGGGCGCTCATTGGAATTTGGAGGACGAAGATCCATCTCTAGCTGGCGATGCATTGACCTTGACCCATCTGCAGATGGCGATACAGCTACTGACAGCACCGTCGAACGAGGATCTCAATTCGGCCGTCACCTCGCTGGTGGCCAAGTACCGGCAGAGTTGGCCAAACATTCATAAGCTGTAAGTTCCAAAAAAATAGGCTGCTGGGAATCCACGTTTATATAAGCCATTGATTCACAGTAAACTGGATCCGAAGTTCTTCAAAAACTGCACCAACTATGATTATTTGGCGGATATACAGGAGTTGCTATTGAAGATGGACGAGGCCAGCGCCAGCGAAATCCTTGTCCTACTTGGCGAGGAGCTGATCACGTGCTGCTGCACTGGCATCATCGAGAGAGCTTTCCGTTGTCTGGGCACCGATCTACAAGAGTTTTTGGGCTCGCTGGATGGTGTTTACGATGTTCTAAAATTGCAAGAGGTTAGTAAATTGTAATGACATGTCTAAAATTATACAAACTTAATGTTTTCCTTGCTCAGGATGATGTCACCGATACGGGCTTTGTGTGTGCGGGCGATGGTGAGTTGATCTTCACCTCGGAACGCCCGGTAATAGCTTGGCTGTTGCTCGGCTCCCTCAAGGCACTTACTCGCATGCTATACAAGGTGGATGTGAACATCAAAATTGAGCCGGTTGAGGGCGATGCGCGTCGATATCGCTATTTATTCTCTTTGGTCAAGGATAACTCTCAGACTCTGCAAATGGAGCGACCTGAGGAACCCAAAAAATTGCTTGAGAAGGTGCCACGCAGCAACTCGGCCAACGCTTCTGATCTGCAAATGAACTCGTCAAGTTTCTGCAAGATGTTCCCCTGGCACTTCATCATGAACGAGCAGCTGGAGCTGGTGCAGCTCGGGCGAGGATTCAGCAAGCTCTATAAGCCGTATCTAGCGGACTTTGGTTGCCAGGCTAGCACCTACTTCGATTTTAAGCGACCCAAAGGGTTGACCATGAAATTTAGAGAAATCGTGCGGCGTACCTACACGCCTTTTCTAATTGGGCTAAACAGCCCGCCGGGAGTATCCGATTTTCCTGCTATCGGCTTGGAGATTAAGGGCCAGATGGTACACTGCCCGGAATCAAATTCACTACTATTCATTGGGTCACCCTTCTTGGACGGCTTGGATGGTCTGACCTGCAATGGGCTCTTCATCTCAGACATTCCGTTGCACGATGCCACACGCGAGGTAATCTTAGTAGGCGAGCAAGCACGTGCTCAGGATGGCCTACGTCGCCGCATGGATAAGCTAAAGAGCAGCATTGAAGAGGCTAACTCGGCCGTAACTAAGGAGCGCAAGAAGAACGTCAGCCTTCTGCACCTGATCTTTCCGGCTGAGATTGCCGAGAAACTGTGGTTGGGCTCTTCGATTGATGCCAAGACCTATCCGGATGTGACCATACTCTTCAGCGACATTGTTGGCTTTACCAGCATTTGCTCCCGGGCCACGCCATTCATGGTCATCAGCATGCTAGAGCGCTTGTACAAGGACTTTGATGAGTTCTGCGACTTCTTTGACGTGTACAAGGTGGAGACCATTGGAGATGCCTATTGTGTGGCCAGCGGATTGCATCGGGCCTCTATCTACGATGCCCACAAGGTGGCCTGGATGGCGCTCAAGATGCTCAGTGCTTGCTCCAAGCACATCACACACGATGGAGAGCAAATCAAAATGCGCATCGGCCTGCACACTGGCACAGTGCTTGCGGGCGTAGTCGGTCGCAAAATGCCAAGGTACTGTCTGTTCGGACACAACGTGACCATTGCCAACAAGTTTGAGTCGAGCAGCGAGGCACTGAAGATCAACGTTAGCCCAACAACAAAAAAGTAAGTGCTTATGAATTAGTTTGATGAGTTCATTGACCATATAACAATATTTGTTTAGTTGGCTAACCAAGCACGAAGGCTTTGCCTTTGATCTGCAACCGCGCGATCCATCCTTCTTGCCAAAGGAGTTTCCCAATTCAAATGGCAATGGAACTTGCTATTTCCTGGAGAGCTTCCGCAACCCGGCCCTGGACAGCAATCTGCCGCTGGAGGAGCACATTAATGCAGCTATGAAGACCATAACTGAGGGCGGCGATGCCTAAGCATCTTATAGAATCACTTGCTCAGTAGCCACTTAAAACTAGTTCAATGCACATGTAGTCTAATTTTGTTGCCCCATTGTGTAGCCTTTACAGAGAATTAAATAAACTTATCGTCAAAGCGTTTGCCTTCAAACACAACGGACAATTTATTGAGCTTAAGCCTTTGCAGCTGCCTCGGCCTGCTTGGCCTTGATGTAGGCCCTGACCCTTTCGCCGATCTTGCTGGCCATCATGCACTTGTGGCCGCGGAAAGCCCACACGTCCGCTGGGCTCTTCTCAGGATTGCTGTCAATGCAGCCCTGGGCAATTTGCAGTGCCTCCTCCTCGGTAAGGTCCATCTTAAACTGCTTAGCCAGGCGATCCGCGTGGTAGCCTTCGTGTGTACAGAAGATATCCAGCTTGGTGGCAGTGCATAGCAGATATTGGCGCACCTCGGGCTCGTCAGGGAATTCAGTTTGCTTCAGCTTGTTGATCTGTTCAACGGACAGGGGATGCGCCTTAAGGCATTCACCGCGTATCTCTTTGATTTCATTTGCTGTTTTGGGAGCCCAATCTCCATTGGCATAACCCTGTTTTGTTTATTTATTTTTGTATTTCTATTAATCAAACGGTTTTAAATAGGGAAACTAATGTCACTTATTACAGACCAATGTGCACAGCGCCAGGCATACGATCAGAAGCTTGAACATCTTGAATACTTTCGAGTCGCAGTAGAAAATTTCAACTAAATGGTCAAAGACTGCGGAGACTATATATATAGCTATCTCTCGTTGTAGCCCATAGTCCAGCTTCTATGTTCAACGACATGAAATGTGTCAAAAGTTCAGCGATAAGCAATACATATGTATGTATGTATATATGTATGTATGTCACAATATGTGAAAGCATTTGAATATACTATTATTTATTTGCATTTCCAGTAGGTGATAAGTTCAGAAATAGCTATGTTTCCTTAATAATCGCATATTACAAACTGACCTCGCCCTTCGCTTCTTATCAACCCCACTGAGGTGGTTGTATGTATTTATATAGATTTGTTTTTGTTGTCAAACAACTGGTAGTTTTAATCTTATCAGATTTTTATATAATTCATCATAATTTTAATAACAAATACGACATTCCACAATAGTATTAAATGAATAATTATTTATAGTTTTATTGTGTACTGGAAAACATTAAATTTCTACTCGTTTCATACAACCGTGTTATATTTTTAAATATTCCGCGATTTATTATACACGAAATGCTTATTATTTTGGTATCTCTAGACAATTACTAGCTACAATCGACATCTCACCCATATTTATCGACCGGCAGCCGTTAAAATTCTTAAAAGAGAACGGAAGATCAAAATAGTAGATAGTTTAGCATCATTGACACAGATCATTCAATGCGTTAATATTAAATTTAGTCCATTGTGAATAAATACTCTTTTCTTAAAATTTTAAACTGTTTCAAATTTTCAAATCGCTACAAAGATTTTTAGGTGAGTATCGCGACTTCTTTAGGTAAAGCAGCGCCCGCTGCTAATAACATTTCTGCAAATGTTAATGGTTTTGGGTGACCACAGCTGTGGTTATTTGTTAGTGTTGGGTAGGATTCTTAATAGTACCAAAATAAGAAACTATTGGCAGAAAAACCCCGAGGAAATGAAAATTGTTATCAAATATACATTTCGCTAGCTGATTTCCAAATGCTAGCAATGTGTAGAAATCATTGTTAGTGTTAGTTCGATAGTTGAGTCTGCAACAGATATATAAATGTTGTCGAAACTAGCGCCCATCGATTTTTTCTCTTCGAAGTGATTGCGGGTGCGAATATTTCCTCTCTCGCACTTAAAAGTCCTAAAATAAAACATATAGATTGCATTTGCATTCGATCGAACGGGTATTAAAATCCACACGAACATGACAAACACCGACCACGTTGCCCTCACTCTATCGTCGACATCCGTGACGGGCCTATCAGGCGGAGCTGCCGGCGATGAAAGTAATATATCCCGAAGGAGTTTGCGACGGGTAAGCCTGGCCTCAATTCCCTAGAGATAGCAACAAATTAGATCAACAACAGACATAATAGAACCACTAAATTGTTTATCCTATTTGTTTTTATGCTAATCATTTACTAACTAGAGCTTACGTGTCTCATGCTGATTTGTGGTTTTTATTTGTGATTTGTAATTGCAGTCATGGAATCAGTTACCCAGATGTCAACGTAATCTCATCATAATGGCTCTCACAGCTTTTATATTTACCGCTCTACTATTTTTGCCGGGCGATCAGCTAATTAACATAAAGGATGTTCGCCTGAAACCTGGAGCGGCGCCTTTCCATATACGGCGCGAAAACACGCTACAGAATCCGCATCATCATCCGAACGTTGAGAAGGGTAACGAGCTACCCGGCGATATTTCGGCAGCTGTCGCATCCCCAATGACTGATGAGAACCGCCTAATTAAAGCGAAGCCGGCCGAAGAAAAGGTATAAATATTATACAGTGGTATTAATTAACAAATTCAGTTCTCAAAAGCCCCATCGACTTCAGAGACGTATCATCAGTAAATAAATGCGTGTACTCCAATACCAAGACACACCTGTACATGTATAATTATACTGTGTTATCAATCAAGCAATTCAGCTCAAAATGCCCAATCGACTTTAGAGCCGTATTATCAGTAAATGAATTCAAGTACTCCAACACCAAGACACACCTGTACATGTCAGGGGCCCGGCTCACTTAAAATACCATTCAGGTTTCTGCTTTGCAGCTGATAACAATTAGAACACCATTCTATACATTTACAAATACTTATTTATCTATCACAGATGGATGACAGTAAATTTGCTGAAAACGTTGATAAGCTACCGGAAACTGTGCTCGTTGGCAATGAGAATGGAATAATCGACATAGTCAACAATGTGGACCAGCCCATCGAAGAGCCATTGGATAATAATATCAACGACCACTCGAATTTACGTGCAGAAGTGGAGGAGGCTATTCGTAACCCATTCAAAGTATCCCATGTCAGCATTGAGTCTCATCTTCAGAGCATGAGCGCACAGTTAGCAAAACCCCAGCATTTCCATGGCGCTACCAATGAGCGGCAGTCTGCAGTTGTGGCAGCCTTTAAGCACTCCTGGGCTGGTTATAAGACGTATGCCTGGGGTCACGACAATCTGAAACCCGTTTCACAAACCTCACACGAATGGTTTGGCTTAGGACTCTCAATCGTTGATTCTCTGGACACAATGTATATCATGGGCCTAGAGGATGGTAAGCATTCAATAAGATTTGTTTATTGATAAAATTCTAAAAACAATTCTACTTCAACAGAGTTCAACGAAGCACGCGATTGGGTCAAGGATTCTTTGCATTTCCACACAAATCGCGACGTAAATCTCTTCGAGGTAACCATACGTGTTCTGGGCGGATTGCTGTCCGCTTACCATTTGAGCGGCGATAGGATGTTTTTGGTCAAAGCCACTGAGTTGGGCAATCGCTTATTGCCCAGTTTTCTTTCGCCATCGGGCATTCCGTATTCGGATGTGAATCTGGGCGAAAGATCCGCACATTCGCCAAAATGGTCTCCGGATAGTTCAACCAGCGAAGTAACAACCATACAGTTGGAATTCCGTGATCTGAGTCGCTCCACAAATGTTTCTATTTACGAGCGGGTAAGTTCTAGTCATTTTGCTAACTGATTAATCTATTAATACTCGTATTGTCTGTATTTTAGGTGGTAAACGTCGTAAATGAAAAAGTACACGCGCTAGATAAAAGTCACGGCCTGGTGCCAATATTTATCAATGCCAACACGGGCACTTTTAGAAACTATGCGACAATCTCATTGGGTGCACGTGGCGACTCCTACTATGAGTACCTACTCAAGCAATGGCTGCAAACGGGTCGCAAGGATAACGACAAGTAAGTTAACAACAGCTATATATATAATAAATGGGCTCCGATAATCAACTCCTTCTTTTTAGTCTTATTTTGGACTACATGCAAGCGATAGACGGCGTATTCACGCAATTGATGCGACGCACACCACGCGAACACTGGGTTTATATAGGAGAGCTAATTAATGGTCATGACTTTAAGCCCAAAATGGACCATTTGACATGCTACTTGCCGGGAACTTTATTGCTTGGCCACCAGAACGGCATGCCCGAGTCCCATCTACTGCTCGCTAAAGATTTGCTAGACACGTGTTATCAAACCTATGTTAGACAGCCTACACAACTGGCAGCGGAGATATCATACTTTGCGCTAACCGACAAGGAAGAAAATGATATATATGTGAAGTCCAATGATGCGCACAACTTGCTGCGACCCGAGTTCATTGAAAGCTTGTATTACTTTTATGCACTAACCGGAAACCGCACATATCAGGATATGGGCTGGGTCATCTTCCAGGCCTTTGAAAAGCATTCAAAAGTAGCTGCCGGTTACACATCACTGGGCAATGTGAAAAACACTTTGAACACTCGAATGCGCGATCTCATGGAAAGCTTCTGGTTGAGCGAGACTTTGAAATATTTCTATTTGCTATTTAGTGACAATTGCAAGGAAATAGACCTCGACAAGTGGGTCTTCAACTCGGAGGGTCATCCGCTGCCCGTGTACCAGAACTAATTGTAAATAGGCAAACGAATTGATTCATCTATACCAACTAAGATAGTAAATAGGGTTTGATAATTATCGGAAAATATGAAAGTTTTGGCAGTACCCTTTTAGTCGTAGCGTAGCGCAAATGCCAAATATTATGCCAAGGTTAGGATGCGAAAGTGTATTATAGTACTTGGCAAAAAAAAAAAAAATAATAATAATAAGTTGATCAATAGCATAAAACCCAGGAAGATGTCAATGATTTGTTCAATCGTACTGATGTAGAAAACTATTTTTATTATAATTTGTATTTATTTATTTAAATATTGTAAGCATGGAACATATTTTATATCAAAAATTCTGGTGCACCAACTGCCGAAATGTTGATAAGTATAACTAGTAATAATGTCGCATAATATTTATAGCATATAGAAATACAATATAATATTGGTAGGTACTTAGTACAAGTGTATGTAATCCGCGATATGATATTCAAGTTGCAAAGACAACTCCATCTCTCTGCATTATTTAGAAAAAAAAAAAAATACAAATAAACAAAGAAAATAATACAATGCACAAAATAATATTGATTTTACTTACTTGTATACTGCTGAAAGTAAATTTTAAAATGTTGGGAATGAAAGACGATGATTTAAAATTTTCCGAATTTGTTTTTATTCTTATGAATACGTATTTTTCAATTTTTTTTTTCCTTTCTTTTTTTTTTTTGCGTACGATTTTCACTTGCACCCAACATGCATTAAATTTGATTGCATTACTGTGTGGGTTTTGGTTTATTTTGTAAAGTTTCTTTCCTGTTTCAATTCGGATTGATGTTATTTGTTGCGTTTTAATACGATTATGTACTTAATGTTTATGACGACTATGAATGGATGGGCTTAATAAACTATGAAATATTAAACTTGCTCGTATTCTTTTCTTGTTTAAGTTGATGCTGTAATTAAAACTCACAATGTTGCATTAAAAATCTTTGCTTTCTTATTACTTTTCGTTTCTCATTAAATTACATTTAGACACATTTAGCTGAACAATTTATTATACGATATTGGTTTTTGTTTTATTCTCTTATTTTTTTTTAATTGTTTTTATTTTATTTGTATTTTTGGTTTTTTAGGGAGAGAGGTTCTGTTGAAGCCGATTTGGAGTAACTGCTTAGTTTAGAATACAAATTGAAACAATGGGTATATAAGTTGTAAATGATACCATATAATTAATAAGTCGAATTGAAGTGGGCTCCTAGCGAGTGATAAGTTCTGTTTGCATTTGTTTCCATCGGCAGCTATATATACATGTATATATGTAAATATATGTAAATATATGTATACATGTATATATGTAAATCGAATGCAATTTTCCTTGACTAACTTAACTTTTAGCTATTACATATAAATTTTTACACAATTATTTCATTATTTGTCTTTGTATAACAACTAGAAAGTGTTGCGTGCGCATCGGCTTTATAAATCAATACAGAGAAAAGAGCTGGAGTAATTCGGGATCTAAGCCAATTAAACGCGATATAGTAATACATACATACAATGGAACGGTACCGGTACCATTCGAAAATTTACTTAAGAGCTAATTGTTTAGTCACATCCCATACCAATAACTAGTATGTTTGTGTTGATCTCGTCATTTGTTGTAGTCGGTTGCTGTTGTGGCTTTTATTTTAAATAGTAGTAGTTGTTGTTGCTTTTATTGTGATTGGTATGGATAAATACGTGAATCTTATGCGCGGCTTCCTAGCATTTACAATATTTGGATTAAGTTCGCAGTTGTGGTTTCTTACGGATTATGGATTCAATTATCTGTTCTAAGTTATATTACATGCTAATCAGACATCGATATTTAAAACGTGGCACAAATCACAAATCAGATTTGTGTCCAGATCAAGATCAAGATACAATGATACGATTCATTTAATATATATGTTTTTTGTTTTCTCTTTTCTTGTATTTTTAATTTTTAATTTATCATTTTTGTGGCTTTGTTATTGCATTGATGTACAATATACACACAACTCTATGTATTCATAAGTATATAATTAATTATTTATAAATGTTTTAAACTAAATTTGCTAAAATTGTGGATTTATTCTTTTGAACTGCGTTTGGTTTGCTTCGTCGTTTGTCGTTTTGTCATTTGTCGTGGAACTCCCTAAGACATTTATATGCTTTGCTGATGTCACCCGTTGTCAAAGCCAAGTTGGCTAAGAGCTATCTAATTAAAATTGAGCACATTATTTATTCGAATTATTTATGCATGCATGCGAAGATTATTCTCAGTGCGTTTCGGTTTGTTAGCTCTGAAGCAGAAAGACGTTAAGCGTATTTAAAATGATAATAATTTAAATTGCTTAAATTGAATTTGTTTTAAATTAATTTTATTATATTTTACGTATTCTCGCATGCCTTTCTCTTTACACATTTATACACTAAGAGCAAATCCTTTGATTAAAAACTGCAATTGTTGAAACTGGCGCATGCATTACACAAATATATATATGTATATATTTATGCTTAATAATAAATAATTTAATATATATTTATTTATCATGTATACATATATTTGTAATGTATATTGAATTTTTGTTGTTGAATTTTCTTTCCTCGATTCAACAGAATTGGCAACATTGTTACAATTGTTTAGCGTAAATCTAATTACGAATTTCGAATGCTCTTCCTGCTAGGTCACTTAACTGTGAATTATACAACCAATTCTCGTCATTTGTCACTTTTACACACTTTCGCAAGTTGTTTGCTTTTATGGAAATGTTTTATGCTTAGTTACAGTTACGATCACTGACCCGTTCCCATTAATTGAATTTGAACAAAACGTATTTTTAATATAGATTTAAAGCCATAATGTCGAACTCTTCCTATTAGATTAGATCACATTGTTTGAAATGCTTTCTTCTTTCTAAATTCCCAAAGTCTAGTCGATTCTGTCGGACAATTTAACTGCGTTCCATGAGAAATAATAGGGCGTCTGCAAGCGTATTCAATCTTCGGCATGCCAAAGTAATTTTTGTTAGTTTCGTGCTTACATTTCTTCGCTTGGTTCACGTTTCATTTCGTTCGTTCGTAGTAAAGATATAATTTTAATAAATTGTCTAGGCATATTCACTTATTTATTGTATCTATATCATTTGTATTACATTAGAATTCATTCAGTGTACTTCTCTGAGAAGCATTTCATGCTATTCGTCGTTTTGTTTTCAATTCTCCGCGTTAATTGCTTTTGACTATTGACTTTTAAGGACCGGCTGTCCCATAAGAATGCTCTTGATTGGATGACTATAAATTTATACAAAATTTATAAATAATTACCAGACTGCTTTGTCATTTATCTTGTAGCTTTAAATATTGTACAAACACATTGGACTAAAAACGAAAACAAGAATAATTACAATTTACGCTACATTCTCAACTTAGATCTAAAATAAACAAATAAATTGTACAGAGCAAGGTGCAAAAATTTGGCAACTGTTGCCGAATGTATTCAGCACAATGGACGACAACAACTAAAATGAACAAATAACATGCAATAGGGGGCTTAATGTACAATCAATGTGTTGTTGTTTTTGTTGTTGTTTTTGTTGCCTTGGGCAGCTTTACAAGGTGGTGGCGTTAAATTCCAATATAAGACTGTTTGCTATCGTTGCCGTTGCCGCCGACTGCAGCTCAGCTGCTGTGATTTGCGGCACATCAGATCCAGATGCTGTGACTGCTTGCAGCCCAAGTCAAGAGGTCATAATCGACTTGACGGCCTCATCCAGGCCAGCGGCCACACAGCTAAAGTCATTCAGTTGCGAATGATGCTGTGACTGCGGCTGCGATATGCCATGGTGGTGTTGCGTATGATGCTGCAGATGCGGCTGCTGCTGACCCAGATGATTCTGCAGTAGCTGCTGCTGTTGTTGCTGCTGCTGCTGCTGCTGTTGTTGATGATGGTGATGATGATGATGATCTAGCAACAGATTGCCGCTAGCATCAGGAACAGCATTCACAGTTGGCCCAGCACCGCCGCTGATTAGACAATCACCCATGTCCTCGCCCAGCTGGCGGCGCCTGTTGTTCACCTGCTCCTGTTGGCAGCTGGGCAAGTTTGCCGCTTGCCGTTGATCGTCTAGTATACTGTCGCCCAAGAAAGAGCCCAGTGAGAACTGCAGCGAATCGCCGCTGTTCTGCAGGTTCAGTATACTATCAATCGCACTGGCCACATGTCGGCTAATATCATCATCATATTCGCCCGTCACCACAGACGCGCCGCCCATGTGGTTCACGTGCATTTGGGTCTGCTGAGGCTGCTGTAGCTGTTGCTGCATATTGTGCTGGTAGTGTGGGTGCTGCTGCTGCTGTTGTTGTTGCTGCTGCTGTTGCTGCTGCTGCTGTTGTTGCGGATCCAACATGCTCGCGAAAGCCTGATGATTGGCAAAGCTGTGTTGCTGCTGCTGCTGTTGTTGTTGTTGTTGCTGCTGCTGCTGCTGCTCCATCAGCAGTTGTGAAAAGGCAGCAGGACCATTCGTGGTCACGCTATCTACACCCATGCCATCATGCAAAGCCAACATATCCGCATCCAGCATGCCATGCTGTGGCACCTGCACATGCTGCTGCGAGGACATGGGCGACGAGGACGTCGATGAAGCTGTGCACAATCGCTTGCTGCTATTCTCATCCTCCAAGTCACTGCTGGAGCCCATCAGTTGGCCGTCCCAATGGCGTTTGCGTGATTCTCCATTCACCAGCATATTGTGCGTTTGACCATCGACTGTGCTGGTGCTGCTCGACATATAGTCGGTGTAGTGGGCTTCCATGCTCTGCATCCAGCGTGGATTGTTGTTGCAGTTGAGCTCAATATGGTGCTGCTGCTGTGGTGCTTGCTGTTGCGGCTGCTGCTGCTGCTGCTGGTGGCCATATGTCTGCTGCTGTTGCTGCTGATCGCTGCTGTAGCCAGCGTTGAAGCCATCATCGGGTCCCCAAATGCTAATTTTGTTCTTGTGGGTCGCTGCTGGCGATTTCGAGTCCCCAAATATCTCATCCAAATTGGATTCAATGTCGTGGGTGTCGCTGCTGTTCTTCACATCCAAATGCACTGGCGACTCGCCGAACATGGCCTCCAGGCGCGTCTCCACAGACTTCTGCACATCCGAGTCGCTGTTGAAGAACTCGCTAATGGCGGGATGATGATTGGGTTGATCCGCTTGCATGGCCAGTGGCTGTTGGCGCTGTTGGCTGCAAGAGCTGCCAATTGGCACGCTGTTGTTGTTGTTGCCAGCATTGCTGCTATTGCCACCAACATCACCGGCACAACTACTGCTATTGCTATTGCTGCTGGTATTGCTGTTGCTCTGATTGCTCTTGTCAATGCAGCCATTTGGAAACAGATCGGACAGATGATTTCCATTATTGAGCAAGTTGCTCGCGTTGTTATCGTAGAGATGTTGCTGCGACAAGTGTTGCTGGTGCGTAGCATGTTGCAGCGGGGCATGTTGTGGATGCTGTGGCTGCAGCGGCTCATTGCTCATCAAGTTGAGTTCTTTTTGCAGACAGTACCAACCGTCCTCGTGATCCTCTTGGGCGAGATTGTTATTCTTAACATGTTGCTGCTGTAACTGTTGTTGTTGCTGCTGCTGCTGTTGCTGTTGTTGCTGCTGCTGCTGTTGTTGCTGTTGTTGCTGCTGCTGTTGCTGTTGTTGTCCCTCCTCCTGCAACTCATAACAGTTCTCAGCATTCTTTGCATCATCCGACTGCATTTTTTGCTCCACTTTCTTCATGATAAAACTGGGCGTCAGCTCAGATTCGATATCAAAGTTGTCGTAGTCCTTTTTGATACGCTGGGTGTTATCCTTGGAGCTATTGTGCTGCTCCTTCTTAATTGTCTCCTCCAGTGATCCATTGGTCAGGCCGCTAGCCTCGGGCTGACACAGCCACTCGCCATTCTCTTCTCGCTTAACCTGTTGCTGCTGTGTCTGTTGCTGCGGCTTGTATGCCTTGTTCACATCCGCACTATTCTTGAGCAGATCAAACTTGTCCACAGCTCCTTCTGTTGCCTGTTCTGCTGAGTCTGACACTTTTTCCGTTGGCTCTGACTTGATTTCCTCCTTCACTTTGGTGTCCATTTGAGACTCACTGTCAGCCGTGTCTTCAGAGCTCTGCTCCTCTTTGAGTTGCTGCTGTTGTTGCTGTTTCTCGAGCAGCTCCTTCTCTGCGGTGCGTATATCACTGATCTCGCCCTTCAAATCGTCTATCATTAGCTGCTGCACTTGCAGAAGTTCCGAGGTGCGATGAGGTAACTGAAACAAATTATAGGAACATATTTTATATCTATTTTCAGTGGATATTTAGTGGATTACTTACGGTTGACTCCTGTAATAGAATCTCCTGGAATTTTCCATTCAACTGACGGAACTTATCACGAAAGCCCAACGCAGTTGCTTCAAACTCTTCATCCTCATCGGAGTTTAACTCCACATCATTCTCATGCATGCAATGATATCTGAGCAAGACCAAAGGAAAACACGATGTTATTCCAGCTGCATCGACAACAACTGTTGCGGCAACTTACCTGATTAGCCGCTTGACCGCTTCGTCCTTGGTGCGAAAAGGCTTCACATAGTCCGGCTTCAGGCAGCTCTCCTGATCCACCTCCAGTTGGCGCACGAACCTGTGAATGAAATTCCCATTAGTATACAAATTCAAGCTGCTCTTAACGAAGTGCATTGAAGTTGGCCTCATTTCATTAAAATCGGCATTTGTCAACCAACTACTCACAAGGAGAGGCGTGCAATTTTTGGTTTAGGTGTTGGCAGCAGTTCCTCCGTTTTGGACAGAGACAAACCCGGCAAAAATACAGGCACTGTGGGCAGCGTTGGGGTAATTAGATTACCCAATGCTGGGGTTGCTATTAGCGATGGTTGAGGCAGCGGAAGTAGCTGTTGTTGTTGTTGTTGTGGCAAGTGCTGTTGCTGCTGCTGCGGCTGTTGCTGTTGTTGACTATGTAACTGCGGCTGTTGTTGCTGTTGTTGTTGTTGTTGTATCTGCTGCTGTGATTGTTGTGGTTGTTGCGGTTGCAATGGTGGCATTGACAACATGCCGACTTGCAAGGCACTGGTGTTGCTGTTGCTGCTGTTGTTATTGGTATTGCTGTTGTTGTTATTACTGTTGCTGTTGCTATTGCTGTTACTATTGCTATTGCTATTGCTATTGCTATTGCTGTTATTGCTATTGGATAAAAGATTCGTGGCGCTGGCAAAGATGAGCGGCGGTGGTCCATTTTTGAGGCAAGCAGCAGACTGTTGCTGCTGTTGTTGTTGCTGCAGCGGTGCAGTCAGAATATTTGCTTTCTGCTGCAACATATTGACTGTTGCAGTCGATTGTGGCTGTTGTTGTTGCTGCTGTTGCTGGTGCTGCTGTTGTTGTTGCTGCTGTTGTTGCTGCTGTTGTTGCTGTTGATTGGCTGCATTAGCTTTGCCGCGACAGGCTGGCTCCTTGACCTTGGTCTGTTGGGCCTGTTGTTGTGGCAGGTTGCAAATGGACGCCGCTTGCTGCTGCTGCTGTTGTAGTTGTTGCTGCTTCTGCTGTGCAAGCTTCTGCTTGTTGGCCAATTGCTGTTGTTGTTGATGTTGCATGGGATAAATGTGTATGCGTTGAGCAACATTCAATTGCTGATGCTGCTGCTGTTGTTGCTGCTGCGCGTTGTTGGGCACTGTCGTTGCTGTTGTGCTGGTGGTAGAATGATTGTTGGGCTGCACCACATTCGCCAAAATAACACCACTATTTGTTGCTTTCAGAGTATCTGCAGACTGCTGCTGCTGCTGCTGCTGTTGCTGCTGTTGTTGCTGTTGCACCTGTTGAAATTGCTGCGGCATCAGACTGAAGCTGCCGTTCGCATTGGGCGTGGGAATCATGCCCTCCGGTGTCGGCACCTCCTTGCCCGAGGCCAAGATGCGATGCTGTTCCGCAAACAATCGCTGCAGTGCCGCATTGATCTCCGCATCTGACATGGGCTTGTTGTACATGGCGATGGCTGCTGGATCCACTTCTGGCGAGATGGGCAACGTGGGCACAAACGACTTGTTCTGCAGCTTGATGGTCAGGAACTGTATTTGGGTTTGCACCGTGCGGAATACCTGCTGCATTTGAGGTGTCAACTGAATCGTTTGCACTCGCGAAATTGTGTTTTGTTGCGGCTGTGGCTGGGCCTGCTGCTGCTGCTGTTGCGTCTGTTGTTGCTGCTGTTGCTGTTGCTGCTGCTGTTTTGGCTGTTGCTGCTGTATTTGCACTGGCAACTGCAATTGAGTGACAGCTCCACTGTTACCGCCACTGCTGGCCACCGCACTGGGCGTCGATGTTGTTGCTGTTAAGCTGAAACTGCCACGCTGCTGCTGCTGTTGCTGCTGCTGCACAGTTACTGTTGTGCCTAGAGATTGCTGCTGTAGCTGCTGCTGTTGTTGTTGCTGCTGCTGCATAGGCGCCGTCACGCCCACCAATTTGGTACCGCTCGTTGTCTGAAAGGGCTGAATGCTATTGCTCATTGTGGTGGTTGTTGTTGTGGTTGTCTGCCCGCCGCTGCAGCTGACAATGACAATCATCTGCTTGCCGCTCGCTACATTCGGCTGCACAATTTGCACCGGATTGTTGTTGGGCTTCTGGGACAGCGGATCCAGCTTGGGCATGGGCTTGACAACGCTGGCATTCTTCAGGCTGTTCATCTCGGCGGCCGTTGACGTCGTCTTGGGCTTACGCACCGGCTTCTTTTTGGCTACGGCACCCGTGCTGGGCGCTGTTGATGCCGTACTGCCTGCTCCGGCGGCCTTGGCCGGCTCTAGCTTGGCTTTGCTCTGGTCTATGATGGGCGCCACATTGGCCACCTGTTTGGTGACCGTAGTGGTGCTCGTGGTGGTGCTGTTGCTGGTGGTCAACGTCGTGGTTGTTGTCGTGCTGATCGGCAAGCCCAGGCTAAGGCCATGCCCGTTGCTGATGGGCTGTATGGGATGAACAATCTGCTGCTGTGGCGGCTGTGGGCGCAATTGGATGGGCAATGTTGCCGTTGCTGTGGCTGTGCCAGCGGCTGTTGCTGTGGACGTTGCTCCTGCCGCTTGCTGCGCCAACTGCGTGGGTGGCAGAGGATTCACGTCGTTGAAGTGCAACTGACCCAGCTGCAGGCACTGCGCCAGCTGCTGAGCATTGATGCCCGCGGGAGCAATCAGCAATCGCTCCGTGGGCCCAATCGATGCTGTCGTTTGGCCAGCGCTGATGGCCGTAATCTGATTGGAGACACTGTTCAGGCAAAACAGCTGCTGCGTGCTGGGATCGATGGGTGGCAGTGCCACGTATCGTTGCCCATTGCTGGCTGTCGCTGGCTGCTGCGACGTCTGTTGCTGTTGCTGCTGTTGTTGTTGTTGCTGCTGCTGCTGCTGCTGGGGCTGTTGTTGCTGCACCAGCAGTTGCGCTGTTGACGGCAATTGTGGAAAGGTTAAAGTTTCGCTAATCTTAGCTGGCATGCTCGGTGGTTTAATTGCATGGGTGGTGTTGGTGGGAATGCTGCTGCTGCTGCTGTTGTTGGTGTTGGTATTATTGTTGCTGCTCAGCAGATTGCTGGCGTGTGCGGCGGGTGTGGATAACTTTCTATTGTTGACAGCTGGAATGAGATGAGTGTAATTAGTAAGGGCCAAACCAAACGATATAAACACCTTTCTATACCTTTGATATCGCTCTTGGATGTTGCCAGTGGCTTGGGAGGATGCGCAGCGGCTGCGATTGTTGTTGTGGCTACCTGCGCATGTTGCTGCTGCTGCAATTGGAACTGTTGTTGCTGTTGCTGCTGCTGCTGCTGTTGTTGTTGTTGCTGCTGCTGCTGCTGTTGCTGTTGTGCTGGTTGTGGGGGCGGCGGAGTTGGTGCAGGTGGTTTGTTCGTGTCCATGCGTGTGGGCTCATTGATGATGGTCACATTGGGCAGAGCGCCCTTGAGCAATGCCTGGAGAATGAGCTGCGATTGATGATCCTGCGGCGTGTTGGGATCATGACGCAAAATCAGTCGCTCGCAGTGCTCCGAAACGGCCAACGTCAGGCTGCCCGTCAGCTGGGGGACCAGCGCCGCTGCCGAGGCGGGCGAACCCACCGATATGGATACGTTGCCCGGCATGCCCGTCAATTGGGGCGGCAATATGGTGGCACCACCGGCCGTTGTCACCGCCTGCATCGGAGCCGTCGTCGACGGTGGCGTAGCCTGTGGTATGGTCACCAATTGCATCTGACGGCCATCGCTGGACAGCTTGATTGTGGTCGTCTCCGGGGCTGATGATGCTGTGGTTGTTGCTGCCGTCGGCTGAAAGACGAGCTGCGCTTGTGGTGTGGCAGCAGTGGTGGTTGTCGCCGTTGCGGCTGTCGATGCCACTGCACCACCCATCACTGTGGCTCCCGGCGGCAGAATGGGCATTATCTGAATCTTATTCTCCACGGCGCTGCCGATGGGCAATGTTGTCTGATGGTGGTTCTGCACCTGCGAGATCTGTATGTTGCCAATCTGGCTGGGCACAGTTGTGGGCGTGGCGCTGCTGCTGCTGCCGCTGTTGCTGCTGGCCAGGCCCAGGCCATGCGGCAGCAATATGCTGGAGCTGCAGGCACTGCTGCTGCTCACTGGCGTTGTCAGGGTGATGGTGTTGACGGTGTTGACACCGCTGCTATTCCCACTGCTGCTAATGGTGGTTGTGGTGGTGTTGCTGCTGCCAATGATGCTGTGCCCTATGTTGTTCATGCTGTGGCTGATGTTGCTTATGCTGCTGCTGTTGCTGCTGCTGGTGCTGATGATGTTGCCGTTGTTAACGATGTTGCCGTTGAGCGTCTCCTGCTTCTTGGTGTTGCGACGCACAGCGGGTTTGCGGCGCGGCTTTACTGCCGCCGTTGTTGCTGCGGTCGCCGACGACGTCGTCGCCGCTGTTGTTGTTGTCGTGGGCGTGGTCAGCGTTATACTCGCCGCAATGGGCGCCTGCTGCAGCGTCACATTGCCGATGGTCTGCGATTGTGCTCCACCCAGGCTGAAGCTAATTGTGGGCGCCGGCGTTGTGGCTTGCATGCTGGTGCATATTTTGCCACCAGCTGCCGCAGCCGCAGCCGCAGCGGCTGCCTGCTGGGCGAGATGCTGCTGCGCCTGCCGCTGTATCTCCTCGGCGGTGGGCAGGCGTGGCGTGGACAGCGTGTACGGTGGTAAGGTTGCTCCACTGGCAACGGCCGCTGCAGCCGCGCCATCGCTTGGATCGATCTTAATGAGGATATTTGGTATTTCGGTGGCTTCGTTGACCGGCGCTGGTGCCGGAATGGTCAGCGTAAAGGGCAGCCCATCGCTGCCGTTTTGGCTCGGTATGGAGATCATGATATCGTTGGAGCTGGGCGCCGCCGTTGTGTTGACTGCCGCGCCCACTACTCCGTTGCTTAAGGGCGGCGGCGGCGGTGGTGGTGGCAGTGATTCCTCAATGTGCTGATGGTGGTGGCTGCTGCTGCTGCTACTGTTGTTGTTGTTGTTGCCGCCACTGTTGCTGCTGCTGCCACTGCTGTTGGCTGCAGCTGCTGCAGCCGGTGCGGAGTTTGTGACTGCATCCATGGCATAGTCCTCATCGTCGTCGTCGTCCTCCGTGATGCCGCAGAACTTCATCACATCGCCGAGATCGAGTTTGCCGTTGCTCGCGCGCTGGATGTGCGTGGGCGGCGGCGATGGCGACTTCGCTCGCGCCACCTGCGGGGCGGGCGTTCGCGTTAGCGTCGGCGCTGGCGCTGGCGTCGTGCTCAGCGTGGGCGTGGCAGGTATGGCAATCTTTTGCTGAGCTGTTGCCGCCGTAGCCGCCGGTGGCTTCTTCTTGCGCGGCCGAGGCTTCTTCTTGGGCTCCACAGTGTGGTGCTGTTGTTGCTGCTGCTGCTGTTGTTGTTGCTGCTGCTGCTGTTGCGCCTGCTGCACCTGCGTCTGTGTCTGTTGCAACTGTTGCTGCAGCTGCTGTATTTGCGCCTGCTGCTGCTGCTGTTGCTGCTGCTGCAGCTGTATGGTGGCCATGGCCGCCTGCTGCTGCGCCGTGGACTGGCGCAGGGGCTCCGGGGTAACTGCTACGGGTACATGCGCCGGAGAGGATTGAGCAAAGAGCTCCGTGGAGCTGTTGCCGCTGCCACCACCGGATGCAGCTGTTGTGGTGGACTGCTGCGGCGGTTGTGGCGTCTGGAAGGCCGTGGCTATCTGCTGCAGATGGGCGCCATTCAGCTGATTCAGATTGATGGTAGCACCGCCGAGAGTCTGCTGCAGCTGCGATATCGCCGCCAGCCCATTGGGCATCTGGATCTGAGCAATGCCATTGCCATTGGCAGCTGCTGCTGCAGCCAGCTGCAGATTCTGCAGCTGCGCCGCAACGCTCTGGCCCAGCAACTGGGTGTTGATGGTGGCCGTTGTGGTGAACGGCTGAGATCGTGGCGTTTGCGCTGCCAGCGCCGCATGCAGGCCGCTCAGCTGGGTGCCCGTCTTGATCGCACTCTGGAATTGGCCAGCGGCAGCCGTCTGTTGGATGAGGTTGCCCTGCGACGACACTATGAAGGTCGGTGTGGCCAGCTGCATGGTGGCCCCATTGGTGCCCACGATGCGCAACAGTTGCTGCTGCGGCGGCTGCTGCAGTTGTGGCTGTCCGCGCGAGTTCTGTATGACGAGCGAGGGCGTGGCTGTCAGCTGGGGCGTAGGTGGACGCAAGATGAGCTGCACACCCTGCGGGTTCTGCTGCACCAACACGGGCATCTGATTCAGCAACAGTTGCTGTGGCTGAGCTGATGTTGCTGGCAGCAAGATTTGCTGCTGTTGCTGCTGGTTGTTGGCATTGTTGGTTGCAGCGCTGAGCTGCGCCTGTTGCGGCTGAGGCGACTGTGAGATCTGCGGCAATTGTGAGTTGCTTTTGTTCTTCTGCAGCTGCTGCAGCGACTGGGAGACCAATTCCTGCTGCGGCTTGGGCAGAATCTGTTGGGGCGTCTTGCTCGCCTTAGTGTTGACAGAAGACAACGCAATGCCTGCATTGCTGGTAAAGCGTTGTTGCTGCTGTTGCTGTTGTTGCTGCTGCTGCTGCTGCTGCTGTTGTTGTTGTTGTTGCTGCTGTTGTTGCTGCTGCTGCTGTTGTTGCTGTTGCTGCTGCTGTTGCTGCTGATGTTGTTGCAATTGTTGCTGCTGCTGCTGCAGCGTCGCCTGCTGGGTGGTGGTGGCTATGATCTGACCCTGCGGCCCCTGGATGAACTGGAAAACTTGCTGCGGCGCCTGCTGCTGCTGCTGCGGCCCGCTGGTGATTGTGAACTGTTGCGGCAGCATCTGTACGGCCTGAGGCTGTGGCGTTGGCGGCTTTATGGCCGCAGCAGCGATTGCGTTGCTGGGACTGGGTATAGGACTGTCTGCTATCAGCGGACTACTGCTCTGGTATTGCTGAAACTGCGCCTGCTGCTGCTGCTGCTGTTGCTGATGATGCTGTTGTTGCTGCTGCTGCTGCTGCTGCTGGCTCAGCACCGAATTGGCGCCCTTTTTCGCTTGACCTTTTGGGCTACTAGCCACATTTGCTGTCGTAAACGAAATGGGCGTGGGTATTGCCGTTGCATTCGGTTGCCCATAGCCGCCGGCTACTGTCGAGCAGATCGAGGTGGGCGCCGCTGCGTTGGTGCTGAAGATTTGCTGCTGCAGTTGCTGTTGCTGCTGATGCTGCAGTTGCTGCTGTTGTAGTTGCTGCTGCTGCTGTTGCTGCTGCTGCTGGTGCTGATGCTGCTGTCCCGTCCGCTTGTTGCCCTTCTAGAAATATGTAAAAAAAAATCAATTTAGTTGCCACTGTCAAATTGTGTCTAACTATTAGTTAAGTGTGATAGATTCAGAGCCAAAGAGTGCAGCAGCAAATTGAATAAAACTTAAAGACAGTTGACATCTGTTTATTGTTTAAGCTGTGCATTAGTTGTGTCTTGGTATCTGTTAATGCAATGTAAATTCGCTCCATTATCGGCCATCAGTGCTCCAGTTTGATAGGGCATCTTATCTTATCGGGCGAGTGCAGCTCGACTCAACTTACCTTGTTCAGTTGGATATTGTTGGAGCCGACTAGCGTGGCGTTCAACTCAGTGCCGATTGCATTATTGTGTCCACCGGCTGCGGCAGCGGCGGCGGCGGCGGCGGCAATGAGCCCGCCAGCTGTCACGCCAATGACGGTCGTGGCAGCGGCCGGCGACTGGGAGGGACTCGGCTGAAAGACAACGGTGCCGGCGTTGGGACTGCCATTTGTGAACTGATGTATGGATTGTCGCCTGCCAGGCGTCGCCGCCTTGCGCTCCTGCAAAGGATTCAATGATATACAGATACAGATGCAAGCATATTATGATGGGACTTACGTGTTGTTCCTGTGGATTGCTGTTGGTGTTTAATGCGTTGCCACCGGCTACGAGCACCACATCCTGTGGGAATGGTGATAGCGATGGTGATGGTTGCAGGCGTGGACTAGCTGAGATCGATGGCGATGGACTGGGCGTCAGAAACGGACCCGGAGGAGACAATATTCCTGCAAACACACCATAAACAATTATTACACATTGAATATACTTATATATATGTAGATATGTCTGTCCACTCAGATATATAGCCGAGTGTATGTGAGCAGTGCACTTATTTATTGTTGTTTATTGGGCCACCATTGACCCACTAATGTCAGGGTCCGGGCGTGTTTATTGGCCGACTGGGTGGTATCGGGTAACCGAGGGGACGCCAGCTCTCCATAATGAACGCCCAGCCGTGGCATAAGCATCGACAACCATTTCGGGGGCAGCAATCTTGTACGTGACCAAAGCGCAGCTGAATACATCAGATACAAGCGAACGAGAGGGAAAAAACAAGCAACAGAGTATCTCTCAGATACACACACACACTCACACACACACTCACGACGCACAACCATCAACTTGTGTAAGTGGGTAAAATTGCGCGCCATTTCAAAGTTGTTTATTTTGAAGCTGGAACTCTTCAATTTGCCGCCGGCTGTGCCATCGCCCGAATCCCGCTCCTGCCCCGTTCAACAGTTGCCGTTGCCGTTGCCATTGCCGTTTGCTGCTTGCTGCCTTTGTGCATACAAAACGAAGCAACTTAACACAATTCGAGGCAGCAACAGCAGCAGCAGCAGCAGCAGCGACCCGACTCAGCGGCTGGAAGTGCGCCAATACATTCCCATATATATTTTCGGACCGAGCTGTGCGCGTCCAAAAGGGAAAAATAAACTAACACACAGAAACAGAAACAGAAATAAAATCCAAACCAGTTTCATTAGTGCCTGAAAAGCTCTTTGCACTCCTTCCTTTACACTCTTATTTTTATCGATACCCTGGCTGAATGAGTTTTGAGGGTATAATTGAGTTATAACTGCTTAAATAATATTTAATATCATTTGTTAATATCAATAAAATTAATCCTCAATCAATTTACGAAAATCACATAGCAAGGCGCAAGTGAAAAGAGGCGCGGGTGTCAGACAGAGATGGGTAGACTATAGTATAGGCCGACAGCGGGTGAATGAATTTAAGTAGAATATACGAAATTAAACAATGATATAAAGATCATATTTCTACAATTATAGGTGAAGTAAGAGAATGAAAACCACAAATAAATTCAATTCAAATAAAATTCAATTTATATAAAATAAATTAATAAATTTAGAGAACCAGAGAAATGACTTTAAGATAAGTTAAACTAGTCTAATCTAAACTACTAGAATCCGGAACCGTCTTTATATCCGGAAGATGCTATAACCGTATACGTTTGCTCATATACGTAGTATGCACAAACTAGGATAAGGCAACTTGACTTTAATTATGACCAATCTTAAGTGTAGTTATGAAAAAAAATCAATGAAAAAATGTAAAAACTAAAATGTCAAGAACGGAACATATTAATAAAATCAACAAAAACTATATGCGAAATGTAGATCTAACACATATAATAATACAAAGTATATCCAAAGGCCTCAACTCTTGAATAAAATATGTCTTTAAAAAATATAAATCCACAGGCAATGAATTATTTGTGATATATGTATTAGTATATATGTACATATATAGCAAGCATTGCAAGATTTATGGTTTTACAAACAGCTCCAACAGCATTTCAAACCAAATCGAAAGTTTATCAACATTTGCAAAGGATATTTATTGTTGCCTTTTAAGTTGAGTACTTTTATCATATGGCTAATAGGCAATGCCAAATTGATATTCAATGTCGAAATCATGAGGTTGACAGACATATTGCTCTTGGCACTCGGATGCCTCAAAGTGTAGGCGTCAGTGCCAAAAAAATAGTAGTAATAATAATAAAAGCAGCTTGATGCAGGTGCTGTCGATTATTGAAATCTGTTTCAAAAATGTGTAACTAGCGGCCGTGCCTGAAGTAGTTTTTCAATTAAAAGTTCAACTTTGTTTTGGTTTCGTTGTTGCTGCCGTTGCTCACATTGTTGCTGTTGATGTTGCGCTTGCGGCAGCGACTTTTGTACATACATATGTATGTGTATATGTATATTGTTTAGAAAATGAAATGAAAAATCAACAACAAAGAGGCGAAAAATTTACATAATACCACCATGGATTGTCCTGCTACAACTGCCGAGCCACATGCCACATGCAGTAGGCAGACAGCAGGAGGCAGGAGGCAGGAGGCGGCATTAATTTGCATAGGGCAAAAATGGAGCTAGCGCGCATGGGATGGGAGCCTGCGCGGAGGCGGCACGGTCGGGCAGACACAAAGAACACACGAGCAAAAAAAATGAAACAAAATGAAATGAGGAATTACGGATAGAGCGGCGGCAACAGCAGGAAGCATAGCATAGCGAAGGCGTAGGATAAACGAGCATAAGCATCAAAGAAGCTGCTCGAGACGTTGTCAGCGATTGGAATTGAGGCATGAGAGGAGGCCGAAGCCATGACTGCCCCTCCTCTATCCCGCTCAGCAATACATATGTATATATTTATTTGCGTGTGTGTGTGTGTGTGTGTAGCCATTGCCGCCATTATCGACAGCCAAACAAAGCCTAAGAGGAATTTAACAAGCGCAACTGGCGACCGTTTACAGCTGCCCAGAGCTAGCAGCGGGAGACGTCGTCTTTCACATCATTCAACATGCACACACACACAGAGACACACACATACATACATATGCAGACACTGTGAAATTGTCCTGGCAACGTTGAGAGTTTCATATTTTTAGGCACTGGGCACAATCATTTTCGTCGGTGCCAAAGCTCAAGACGTCGATGTTGGCATCCCAACGAGATGACTGTGCAGTCGAGCGTCAAGAGAAGGCACCCAGAAGGGAGCAAAGGCAGAGGCAGAGGCAGAGACAGAGGCAGAGGCAATGGCAATGGCAAACCAACTGAAGGTACTGAAGCAACGTTGCCAGCAGCAACGTAAATCAAAAGCCGCGCCGCGTGTGCTCTCAACAACAATAAGTACGCCAAGGGAGGGGGGGAGGACGGACGGACGGATATCTAAATACGAATACTGGCAAGCACTTCCAGCTGAATGCCTCACAGTTTGTTAGACACTCAACAAACTGTATCGAATTGGTCTCGACGCAAGTGGGGGAAACTTGAGAAAGAGGGCAATTTTCCAATAACTCACGATAGTCAACCAATTACTATTTAACATATGATCAAGCAGAAATTTAACTGCAATTTGATAAATGTATAATTAAAGTTTTTGCTTTATTTCTGTTTACTATAAGGAATTAACATAATTAAATTATATATAAATTTATTCTTGCTAAACAAAATGAAATAATTTAAGACGGAAATCAAATATTCCACAGTCTGAACAAAAGCCCTGATGGCTTATTTAATATATTTCTTTTCATCTCATTTGTCAAGTAATTTGATTTTTGTTAAAATTTCCCAATTCCAAAGAGCCATTCAGCAGACGAAATCAACGACATACATATACATAGTTATATACATATTTATTATACGTACGTACAGTAAACCTAAAGATGTTTGTATGTTTTCAGGGTAAGTTAAGCCACAAACGCAAAAGAGATGTAACCATATTATTTTTTGTAAATTTTATTCAAGTCGGACTTTAGTTACACTAAAACATTTAGTCAATGAAAACCTTCTGGATAATAAAATATAAATTATATTATTTATTGATACTCTAAAATTTAAAGTAGATCTGAATTTAGGGACAAACACCTCATAATTCATATAAGGATAAATTGTGAATGATTTTCTGTTAAGGGTATACAAAAAAAGAACCAAAAACAAGCAAAAGTAAGGAAAGGCTAAATGAATATCGAGTCAAAGATATGCACTTGATATGCACGTACACATACGCCCAGGGAGATGCTCGAAAGTTTGGCTAGCCGAGACGCAGATGAACGCACGGATAGACGACGAACGGTTGCACGGATGGTTGGATAGATGGATGGATGGATGGATGGATGGTTTGCTGGTTGGTAGTTAACTGACTGCCCGATGCAAGCCTGCCTGCCTGCCTGCCTGCCTGCCCAGCCATCTACTCGAGTGTCTGGCGAGAACAGAGACTGACGCCGGGCTTCGGTTCGAGCTCGGGCTCGGGCTCGGAGGCAGGGCCAGATGTTGCCACATTATTTTGCATTTTGTGCAGCAGCATAAAAACTGAACCAAGCACACTTTGGGACAGAGAGGCAAAAAAAAAAAAAAAAACAAAAAACAGAGTCAAACGGCGGCTACCCGCGCAGCAAGATGAATCCTATTTACGAGGCACCACTCACTGGCTGACTGACGCTCTACAACAGTCACTAAGTGTGTATCTGTGTGAGTGTGTATATCTCTGTGTGTGTGTGTGTGTCTGTGCAATGCATTTGCTCGTGTATCTGAAAAGTTTGCTCTCTGTGCGCCGCTTTGCTGCCTGTCAAAGTCAGTAAAAATTTTGTTGGCACAAAAAAGAAGGCAAAAAAAAATAAAATAGAAGCGCAATCGGAAAGGGGAGGAACGCAGAGCAACAACAACAACAACAACAAAGCGTGGCAAAGATGCAAAGGTAATGGAAAGTGTATTGCGAGTAGTTTTTGCGCCCGCGTTCAGCAGCAGGAGCAGGAGCAGGAGCTGGAGCAGCAGCAGCAGCAGAAGCAGTCAGAACTGTCGACTGTGCCCACAATCCGGATCCGGGCACAAAGTCTATCCCTTGGTCCTGCTGTTTCGGCGGCAGTTGATGCCTTGAAGGCATTTGGCTTGTTAAGCAGCATAATTGAATTAAGCTAAATGCGGCACAGCGAGCCAAGCGGACCAAAGTGAAACAAGCAAAGAAGCATCCGAGGCAGACGACAGACTCAGATACAAACACAAACACAAATACTGTAACAGACACGCACTGGAATATTCCGACTTGCGGCAGACTTGTCGCAGAAATATTTGTGCATAATAAATATCTCGCATTTAGGTCGACGACCCATTTAATTATGCAGCATTACTTAGATCCCCTCAAAGTGACTCAACAAACCGTATAAATAAATCATAAATCAGTAAATAATTTGCAATGATATCCATTT